TTCTTCATTTCTGAAGAAGGGTCTAGGCCTGAAACGTCAGCTTTCCTGCTCCTCTGATGCTGCTTGGCCTGCTGTGTTCATCCAGCTCTACACCTTGTTATCTAAGATTCTCCAGCATTGCAGTTCCTACTATCTCGGGGACAAGCTGGGCTGGTTTTGGGATGCGGTTGGGGGAGGCCCCAACTGTGTTCATCCAGATCTGCACCTTGTTACTTCAGATAACATTCTGGGACCTGAATTCAAATCCTGCCATGGCAGATCGTGGAATTTGAATTCAATAAAAATATCTAGAATTAAGAATCTAATGATGACCATGAATCCATTGTTGATTGTTGGAAAAAAACATCTGATTCACTAATGTCCTTTAGGGAAGGAAACTGCCATCCTTACCCAGTCTGGCCTACATGTCACTCCAGCAATGTGGTTGACTCTGAACTGCCCTCTGGGCAATTAGGAGTGGGCAATAAATGCTGCCTAGCCAGCAACGCTCTCATCCCATTAATGAATAAAAAAAAGTTGTACCCCTTCCAAGCCCAATATATCCTTCTTAAGATGTGGTGTCCAGATCTACTCACAGTACCCCACGTGAGGTCTAACCAGGTTTTTCTTTGAATAACTGCAGTATAACTTGTGCTTCCTTGTAGTCTACATACAGAGACCAGAGACAATGGGCTGAATGGCCTCCTTCTACACTGTAACATATCTACTTTCTGTGCCTGCACCCGATGTATGCAGAACAGGTAGATTGTTACTATTTTATGCTTTTCAGTGTGATATGGATTGTTTGTAGATGAGGAATAAGTGAGTGGTTATTGGAGCAGTATCAGGTTGTAGTGGCACATTTGGTAGGAATTGGCATGTGAGGATACATTCGATGTTGCCCAATCAGTTTCAGATCCTGATGAAACCAGAATGCACTTACTTGTAAGAGGTACAGTCTTTAAGTAGCTTTACTTTAAGCACTGTAGGCTGAATTTAATAGGTACAAAAATAAAACACTGCAGGTGCTGGAAATCTGAAATGAAAGCAGAAAAGACTGGAAAAAGCTGGTTTGACAGCATCTGTTGAGAAAGAAACAAGAGTTAAAGTTTGAGGTCAAAGAACTTTATCAAAACTTTGCACGCAAGGTAATTTAAAGAGGTCGACATGCTTAGAAGGAATGAGGCTTACAGCCAATCAGCAGCCTCTTGAGCCTAGGGTGCATACAACAACCATGGACATGAGCAGGCATTATAAAGTGTGCAAGCTGTCTGGGCCAGTTGAGTTAGGCTTGGAATTATCACTTATCATGATCTCTACATAATTCAAGGCCTAGCAAATTTAGTCTCATGTATCTCATTAGTACATCCTAGCAATTAAACATTTAAATGAATGTTCTTTCTAAAACACAGAAGTATCATACTGCTAATACATTAAACAATTTTAAAGGAATAGTTGAGAATGGTTTTTGCACTATAAGTATTAGCAC